GCCACTATGGGAAGGGGAGTAGGAAGTAGTGAAGAGGTCTGGTAGAGATGAACCAGATGCACAAGACACTTGTGCATGGAAGCAATGCTAGGAATCTCTCTGTATAGTATCTTTATCTCAAACTAGCAAAACCGTTATGTCTTTCTTATTATCTCCTACGTTTTCTTTTCAACAAACTTGGAGGAAAAGGGGCGGAACAGGTTCTAACCCAGAAGCAGGGTGGAGGTGGGGGAAGATGGCCCAAATTATGTATACACATGTAAGTAAATGTAAAAATGATCAAATAAAATTTTTAAAAAACACAATGGGGTATAATTCAGCCATAAAAGAAGAAAGAAATTATGTCATTTGCAGGAAAATGGATGAAACTGGAAACCATCATGTTAATTGAAATAAATGCGACATAGAAAGACAAATATTTCATGTTCTTCTCATGTGTGGAATCTAGATCTAATAAAAAAGAATGACAAGAGTGTAAAATAGGGGGACTTTATGGGAGTGGGAACTAGCAGGAAGGGGAGGGTGAAAGGAAAAGGTGAGGAGGGATGGATATGATCAAGTACTTCCTACACATGTATAAAAATAGATAATGAAACTGGTTAAAACTACTTTTAAAAGGGGTGAGAGGGAATAAGAAAGGGTAATAGAAGGAGGTGAATTTGATCAAAGTACATTATATGCATGTATGGGAATATCACAATGAAACCCCTTTTTTTAATCAGAAAGAGAGAAGACTGGTTGGGACAATTTTCCTTAAAATATGACTTACTTCAGAGTATTTAAAAATGGAGCTGCATGAAACTAAAAAGCTTCTGCACAGCAAAGGAAACAGAAGTCTTTACCAGACTGAAGATACAACCTACACCACGGGAGAAAATCTTCGCCACATATGCATCTGAAAAGAAATTAATAACCAGAATATGTAGAGCTATGTATTCTAACTAACCTCTCAAAGAATAACTGAATAAACAGACACATGAACTGAACAGACAATTCTCAAGGAAGAAGTACAAATGGCCCATAAACTATGAAGAAATTTTCACCATCCTGGGCCATAAAGGAAATGCAAATCAAAACCACGTTGAGATTCCACCTCACCCCAATCAAGATGGATATCATCAATAACACAAACAACAACAAATGCTGATTAGGATGTGGGGGGAAAAGGAACACTTCTACACTCTTGGTGAAAATGTAAATTAGTGCAACTGCTATGGAAAGCAGCATGGAGGTCCCTCAAAAAACTAAAAATAGGACAACCATATGATCCAGTGACACCACTCCTGGGCATATATCTGAAAGAATGTACTCCAGGATATGATAGAGCCACTTGCACACCATGTTTATTGCAGCACTACTTACAATAGCCAAGCTTTGGAAGCAGCCCAGATCCCCCACAACTGATGAGTGGATTAAGAAAATGTAGTATGTATATACAATGGAGTTTTATTCGGCCATAAAGAAGAATGAAATTATGTTGTTTGCAGGTAAATGGATGGAACTGGAGAACTTCATATTAAGCAAAATAAGCCAGGCTCAAAAAATCAAAAGTCTCATGTCTTCTCTCATATTTTATATATGTACACATTTAACTTATATGTACATATAATGTATATATAGAAACATATACATATATGTGTGTATTATGAGAGAGATAGAACAAAATTGTATTAATAAGTCCATCTTGAGGGGACTATGGGAGGCAGGAGAGATAAAGAAAATGTTAGAGAATGAAAACTATTGAAACAACCCGTCTATATATGAAGACAATATAATGAACTATACAGTAACCTATTGAATATTATGGGAGCTTGGTGATAGAGAGTGAGTAAGTAATGGAAGGGGAGGTTAATTTGATTAAAGCATGATATATATATATAGAGAGAGACCTGAAGTACCCAGGTAAAATCCCCTTGAACTATCAACATACACTTTATTTAAAAAAATGAAGGGCAGGAGGGAAAAATGAGTCTTTTCCAGGGGTGGACACCAGTGGGAGTGGGGTAGGCACAAGGAAAGGAGGAATGAGGGTGTATAAATTGGATGTATTTTGTATCCATATATGAAAATAGAAAAAATGAAACCTGTTGAAATTGTCCTAAGATGGGGGTGGTGGGAAGAGGGAGAACAGTGGAGGGGATAAATCCAACTAAGATATATTTTAAGACATATGTAAATATTTCCCTATCCAACTATTATATTCTAATACAAATCATTAAAAATTTTTAAAATATGACTTACTTATATGATACACCTGAACAATTATTGAATTTCTCTTTGCCTATTCAGTACATTCCACCCCTTCTATTCCAGAAACTTAATATATGGTGGTAAAGAAACTCAGCACAAAATGATCCAGTTTTTCTGCCCATTAATAAGAAATGCATGCACTCATTTTTTCCCCAAAGGTACGCTTACCTGGAAACCAAACCTAGATTCTGCACTCTAACCTACATCAGTATTCAAGGTTAGGATTCAGCCCAGTTGATTCCTAGACAATCATTCTATGAATTAGCTTTAGGGAATCACTCCTTAAAATTATAGAACCAAACAAAAAAGTTTAATTAGTAAAAAGTATACCAACAACTATCTTCAGAAAAGAATACAAAGAAACAATCCTTCAATCTTCAAATATTTTACTGATTAGTCAGAAACAATATATACTAGCCTTTGCTGTGTTGATAGTGAGTTTACTCTGAGTGAACAATGTTGAAATACACTGCATCTGTAAAGGAAGATAACATAATGAAGCACCTTGAAAGCTCTTGAATAATAGGGAGTAGGGGCAAAAAGGGCAAGGGAGAGTAATAAATGGGGTTAATCTGACTAAAGTACAATATATTTGCAGCAGAAATAACATCTTAAAATCTTTTTTAACAATGACTTAAAAATGAAGGGCAGGACTATAAAGCAGGTCCTGTGAGCGGGTGGGTTGATGAATGGAGGGGATAAAGGGAGGTGAATATGGTCAATGTACTTTATACACTTACATGGAATAGAACAATGAAGCCTATTGTAATTGTTTTAGGTAGGGGGAAGGGAAATGAGGGAGAGAGATGGGAGGTGTGAAGCCAACTAAGGCAAATTGTAAGCATATATGGTAATGTCACAACAAAAATACAATAGAAAAGTGAAGTTCATTCTTGTGACTTCTCTACCAAGTTAACATTCTTGCATTCAGCCATTCTCTTACAGTTCCAGTCATCTGCTAGAATGACTCCAACCTTATTGCCTATTGTTATCATTCCTAAATTCTCCAATGTAGATGCCGAAGTAAAAGCCCAAGGTCACATCACTGGTAAATTATGAGGATGGACTAACCCTGTTCATTTGGACCTACAGATGCTTCTATAAAGGAGTTAACATACAAGCCCTCCAGGTTGTAGCCAAATCTCTTTTTTCCTAAGGTTACCTTTGTTAAACCAGGCATGACTATACGACTCCATACACATACACAGTAATGTATATATATATATACACACCCATTCATATACATCCTTTTTTTCCTTGCAATGCTAGGGGACCAAACGAGGCCTTGCATGTGCTAGGCAAGTACTTGCTACCACCTAGCTACATTATATCCCCAACCCTATATTACATCTTTTTGCCTTCCCCCAACTCACCCCATGTATCATAAGAATGCTGTTTAGCAGTCACACTGTAGGTCCAAATCAGGTGGCATCCAAGAGGAATTCAAATTTGGCACACTTCAGTGGTAGTATCTGATACTCCCCAAAAGAGAGCATGATACCTTCTTGAAGGATATTTTTCTTTGGTAAGACTAGAAATGCCATTTGCCTGTGTGTGCCAAAGCATCTTTGTGAAGTCATAGATTGCTCACAGTTGAGGTCCAGAATTACTAATTACAAAAATCAGTACATGTATTAATACACTTTGAAGACTGCTGTTAGTATAAACTTTGAATAACCTCATTAGCAGATAACCATGAGTCATGCAGACTTTCACACCTGGTTTTAATGACTTTGAAACAAACACAGACAAGCCAATTGGCACTTAGGCAAAGAATGTTTTATTTTATTTACTTCAAATCAGAGCTAATGATGCAGGCAAATTTAAATGAATCCAAAGGACTTAATGAACCACAGCTAGGCCTATCTAGAATTCTGTTTCTCCACAATGGGCTGATTTCCTCTGCACATGTTATGCATAGCTTAAATTCTCAAGGTGCCAATGGGAAAAAGAAGCCAGAGAGGAGGCACATAGGAATTTTATGGGTGAGACCCAGGTGAGATCCAGTTTCCAAGTTCAACTGTGAAGAGGAATGGGGCTCTTTCAGATGCTAAAGCTGTTCTGAAAGTCTAGAATAATTGGTTCCTACACGTAAGACATAACACCTGTCCTTTCTTTAAAGTAAAGACCTTTTCTACCTCATAGCCAAGACTCATAGAGACATTTCCCTAGGGTAAAGTCATGTCAGCAGGCAAGTGAAATAATGGTGGAATGTCTGGCTGGGTTTGAGTGACTCCCACGTAGGCTTTGTTCTTTGCAAGAGTCCATCAGAGGGACAACTTCAGGGAATTCCTTTAGTTATGTAAACCCGGAAAGAAACTTTCTCTAAACAGGGCTAGCCCCTGATTATTTTTCAGTTTTTGCTGTGATTTTTGAGGGCAGGATGGAAAAGTCGTTTTCCTCAATGTATCCCTGGAGTCTTGCATAGTGCACAGCATGTACTTCTATAAATGATTTCTGGTTGATTGAAGCCCCGCCTAAAGCAACTATTGGCCAGTTCTACTCCTTTATTTTACCCTTTTCCAGTTACATAGGACCTCTGAGCACACCTGGGTGCTGTCCTTGTGGTTACTTTCTATGACAGATCAAATACATGAAGCAGATGGACTACCCCATCAGCAGACACTCACGGGAGGAGAGACCAGTAAGACTGGCTGGCAGTACCACGTGAGCGGGTCTGTGGGAGAGGGTTTCGGGCAGTGAGGTCAAGGGTGTCTTTGCCTCCTCTGAGAGTAAGCAAGATAGAGCCCTCACTCGTCAGAGGAAGGAGGAATGGGCTCTTTCTTACAGGTGTCATGCTTGACTCGGTGTCGTTGGAGGTGATTGGAGCGGGTGAAGGCCTGGCCACAGTCCTCACATTGGTAGGGCCTTTCCCCATTGTGCATCCGAATGTGCTGAGCCAGCTCGGAGGCAATGCGGAACGACTTGCCACACTCAGCACACAGGAAGCCCTTCTCCCCGGAGTGGATCTGTTGATGCCGCTTCAGGGTTGAGGATCGGGCGAAGGCCTGGCCACACTGCGTGCAAGGAAAGGGCCTCTCACCGGTGTGAATGCGCTGGTGGCGCACTAGGCGCGAGGGCTGCGCAAAGGCCACGCCGCAGTCGGCGCACTTGAAGGGCCTCTGGCCGGTGTGCAGCGTCTGGTGCTCGTACAGGTTGGAAGATTTGGTGAAGCACTTGCCGCAGGTGGGGCAAGGGAAGGGCCGCTCTCCAGAGTGCACGCGCTGGTGCTCCACCATGCGGCTGGCCACCGCGAACTCCCGGTCGCAGGAGGGGCAGCGGAATGGCTTCTCGCCCAGGTGCGTGCGCTGATGGCGCAGCAGCGACAGCGGCTTGTTGAAGGTCTGGCCGCACTGCACGCACGGGAAGGGCTTGTTGTTGCTGTGCAAATTGCGCTGGTGTTTGCGCAGGTCCGAGGAGCGCACAAAGGCCTTTCCACAGTCCTGGCACGGGTATGGTTTCTCACCAGTGTGGGTGCGGATGTGCTTCCGGTGGTCAGAGGACCAGGTGTAGGCCTTATCGCAGAAGGGACACCGGTAGGGCCGCTCTCCGGTGTGCAGGCGCCGGTGCTGCTGGAGCGTGCCGCGATGGGAGTAGGCTTTCCCGCACAGCTCGCACGCGTAGGGCTTAGGGGCGCTGCGCTCCGCAGGGCTGGGCAACTTGCTGGGCTTGAGGAAGGCACGTCCGCTCCTTTGGCACCCACGGGGACGCGCTTCCACCTGCAGGCTCTCTCCCGTGCGCTCCCCGTTCTGGTCTTTGGTGCTGCTGTGCACTTTTGCCAACACTGCTACTGCCAGGCTGGCTGAGGTGGCCGACGCTTGAACTGGTGTCTCCCTTCTGGAAAAGTCCCACCTGCTCTCCGCCCTGGGGACATTCTCGAGAGAGTTGTCTTGGGAAGTGTCTACATTTTTCTGCGCACAGAAATACTCTCCAGTGCTCAGAAAGCTGGATGAGGCGTGCAACGCTGCGTCCTGGTTTGCCTTTGAGTCTCCATCGTCACTAGGATCTTGTGTCCGACCTAATAACTTATGTGATAGGCTGCTGGGAAGGGCAGCCAGAGCAGCAGTGCCTGTACCAGGGGAGTCCTGAGTTTTCGTGATCTCTGATTCCTCTCTTTCCCTGCTGGCCATCTTCCCAGGCATCTCCCCCTTGTCCCCAGCACTGAAGGAGTTAGAGAATTCCTTTTCCTCCTTGCAGGATGGATGCTGCCACTGCAAGCAAGGATTGTCCTGGGTTACTGGGCAGCTGCCCATTGGAAGGGCTGCCACCTCACCTGGGTCCCCTTTATCTCCTTCTTCCCCACCGTCCTCATTCTCACTCTCTAAGTTCATGGTCAGCATCTGAGTGTCATGAGTCAAGCTGCCAAGAGCCATCTTGCCCCACCTGTCCTGGGAGTCCACTTGTGCCATGACGGGCAGGCACTTCTATTGCCTGCTCCTCCTATGAAGAACTTTGCTTGGCTCAGGATACCTGCAAAAAGGGAGGTGTGAAGAGGAAGTCACAAAGAATGTGCTTAATTACGTCCATGGCCAGAGGAACTGAGGTTCTCAGTATAGCTCTGCTTCTAAGTGGTATCCATGCTAGGTGTATTGAGGAGTGGGAAATGGGAGAGAGAAGCTGGGTCCTGCTGAAAATGCCTCAGTCATCCTCATTCTCTTTGGATATCCCACTTGCTAAAAGCCTCAGGAAACCATGCTGTCAGTCCTAGCAAAGGGTAGGGGAACTTGCCAGATGCCAGCTGTGCCCTGCCCTGTGCAGGGTGCTCACTAGCCAAATGGGTCCTTTGCAGGTATGGAGGAGGCTGATGAGACCTCTGGGTGTCCTCAGGCACTCTCACAGTGTCCCCAGTCACGATGCTAGAAACCAGGCTGGCTCCTCCTTTCCCTGCCAGAAGTGCAAGTCTACCACCCTGTGATGGTCTCAGCTGGGGCCACCACCCTGGCAAATGGGCAGTAGGGGACAACCTCTTCAGAAGACAAGGTGCAACCCCTGGAATAATGTGGACAAGTCAGGAAGATACCAAGTGGGTTATCAAGGAGATACCAGCACTTACTGCTTCAGCAGGCTTCTTAGGCTCTTACAGTGAAGAGCCCCTAACTGCCAGGGAGGGTGAACACAGGCACCAGGGGAGAAGGGGATGCTCACCTTCTCCCCTGGTGCCTATGGAAAAATGCTTCATCTTAAATATGCATGAGAATTTATCTTCTATGCCATGTTTGTTTAAATAGAAAAATAGTATTTAAGTTACCTTCAGTTTAAATATCTAATCCCCTCAAGTGTGCCATACATACCCATAGCACCATGTACTCCTGGCATATCCCATATGCCCACGGGGAGGCACATTTCCCAATTTGAGTAGCAAAAGTTTAAGGTTTTGACAGCAAGGCACGAGACGCAGGAGCCATCTGGGTCGCATTTCAAACTGATTTTATTTTAACTTGAAGACACAGAGAAAGCCTGTGAGTGACACATTTTCCAGTGAGAAATGGGCTACTGAGGGCCTGGCAGGGGGTACTGGCCACTTTGGAGAATCCCGGAAGGAGGAATATTAAAAGTTCCCATTTTTCTGGGCACACATTTTAAGCCAGGTACTGTGTTGAACATGCTTTCATTTATTCCTTCCACCAACCTTTAAGATAGAGGCCATTATTATTATATAATTCTTTCCATTTTATAGACCAGAACACTGAGGCATAACAAGGTTATTTACCTGGCCAAGGTTACACAGCTCACAGACAGCAGCCTCAGGCATTCTGTCTAATTTCAAGGCAGTTATATTAAATCCTGAGCCCAGCTCTGGTCTCCAGACTGAGGCCTGCCCTAGGGATGGGCCCTGCCAAGAGCAGTCACAGCATCCTGGGGGTGGAAGGTCTGCTGCTCTCTGCAGGCATCAAAGCCCCTTGTGTTTTCTGGGCCAAGGAACCTTGGCTGTGTGGCCTCACTGCTGGGCTCCTCCCTGTGTTCACTGACCCAGATTGCCCTGTTCAGGAGAGAGAAGCCTGGGCCACCCATCAAAGCCAGGACACATGGTGCAGAGACCACTGCCCCGGCTGTCAGGAGTATTAATGAGTGGTTCCTCCTGTAAGCTCCCTCTCTACCTTGGCCACCTTCCACCACTGTCCCAGCAGGATAAGAGGAGCGATCTTTGTACTCACTGTGTCCTGTTATATATCCCCACCTCATTAAACTGTTCTTCCCCTCCTCCTGCCAGCTCATCACCCAGTTACTATGTGTGTGGAGAAGGAACAGTGAGTAGGAAGCCCCACTTTCTACTCTGGGTAGAGAAGCCGTGGATGAAGGGAGCACATATTGCAGTCTTGACTGGGTTTAGTGTCTCAGTCTCTGCGCCCTGGTGCCCAGGGGACACTTGTCCTATCTTGACTTTGTCCCCATGACATGTCAGAGTGAAGTTAGCATATGTTTTGACAGGAAACTGTTTTGACAGATTTTTCAGCATGGTGCATTTAGAGAGCTGCTGTGGCATGTGCACGTGCGTAATGCATAAAGGACACACGCTAGCCAACTTATGACCGACTCAGACCAGCATGGGTCAGGGCTGAGGTCCCCCAGCACAGACAGCAAAGGGATGCTGGATTTGAGTGAAACAGATATCTGAGGTCTGTCTGTCTGTCTCTGCCCATTCCTGTGGGACTGCTCGGCACACAGCTGCCTTCACCCACACCCCCCCACCCGATGTCCAGACATGCACCCCGTTTTCCACAGCAAGTGTCTCTTTCCTTGCTTCTGGGCCACAACTGAGCCTCCTCACTGTAGCGCACAGCCCTCCGCTAGTTAACCCTTTTCAGGAGCCTGGTGGGGGATCACCTTTCCAGGTAGGGAATCCCTCCTTTGATGAAGCCATATCCCCAGTGAATCCATCTGCCTCGCTTTCTCTTTTCTGAAGCTGCTGAAGGCTTTCTCTCAATGATCAGGAAGACCATGAGGGGGCAGGAGTTCAGGGTGGGGATTTCTGGCAAAGCCTGCACAGATGTACCTTGTGAGGGAAAGAAAGATTGATGCCATCCATGGTGTGCCTGGCCCCTCTGCTCTCCAGATGTGCTGGCTCCAAAGGCCGTCAGAGCACAGCTCTTTCCTGGAACTTTGCCCACACCCAGCAGCCAGCCAGGCACTCTTCAGTGGTATAGCCTCCAGCTCCCCTCCTCATATGTGGACACTGCAGGAGCTTGGCCTAGGGATTGTTTCAGCTCCCGACCCCTGCCCCTCTCCCTTTGTTCTCTCCAGATGGTACTAAGTCCATTCCAGGACAGCCACCATCCACTTTCTCCTCTGCCCAGGCCTTGCTCTTTACTTCTGCCTCCAACACAAACAGTTGCTTACCTGGAAAATGCAGACAGCAGTGTGGGCCCTTGCCCTGGCTTTTGTCACATGTGGCCTCTCAGCAACAGGAACCGGAGTTTGGGACAAGTTAACAGAGACAGTGCCTCTGTCTCTCACAGTCCAGCAGCTGCAGAGAGAGTCTTGGGAGGTGGGGCCAGTGTAATGTACTCGACCTTCCTGCCTGCATCTCAGAGAGCAGCCTGGGAAATACAGTGGGGCTGCCCTCTCACTGCCTGAACCGATCCTCAGGCTCCCTCTGCTCCCTCCTTCCCTCCCTGCCACAGCCAGGTTTCCTCCCCACCCCTCCCTCGCTCAGAAGCTGCTGGGTCCTGCAGGTGGGCCTGTGCCTCCTGTTCACTCTCATTCCTTCCTCCCACAGAGCAAGCAGCCCAGCCTTCACTCCTGTCCTGATGTGCTCATGGGCCACCAGTCACAAGTGAGCTTCCTGGGGAACATTGCTTTCATCCTCTCTGAGAGTCAGAATAGGGTATCTGGCCTGCAATGCCACTTCCCCTATTCTAGTACCCACCTTTTGTAGAGCTGTGGGATGAGCAAGGGTGGGAGTCATCCCAAAATTCTTTGTAGCAGCCTAGTCATTGAACCAAAGATGCCTATGGCCATTTAGCTGGGGGTAGAGTACAGTGGCATAGCTTTCTGTCTTTATTTATACAGATGTCAAGTCTTTCTGGGACCGCTGCCCATCTTTCATGTAAGTTCATTCTTCTATCCTGGGTTGACCCAGGAAAGAAGACCCAGTATGTTCAGAATTGATTTCCACTCAAATCAAATGTGCCTTTATCAAAGTGAACACTCAGGACATTAAAATACAGGATAGGCATATGGTACCTGTAATATCACAAGATGGGCAAATATATACTAGTTGACATTAGGGTTCTGGGCCTGGGTTTGAATCTTACCACTCACTAGCTGTGCGACCTTAGACAAGTTATTTAACCTCTGTGTGCCTTAGCTCCTCACCTGCACAATGGAGATCAGGAAAGTATCACCATCATGGATGTCTTATGGGGAATTAAATAAGATAATGTATGAAAAGAACTTAGCAGTTCTGGAGCATAGTAAGTGCACAGTACAGACAGCTGGCTTCATTACAATCATTGATGTCATTTTTGGGGCATGACATGGCTCCTGGCCCATTGGGGCCACACATCTGACAGGAATACTGAAACCCAGTACATTTTTCTGAACAGCAGTTTTCCCAGTGTGATTCAGAGAAGCAGGTTCCTCTGCCCCTCCGTGTTTGGCAGGCATGGCTTCAAAGGACAGAGGTGCAAAGCAGAGACATGACTCACAGTCTCTGAGTCTGAATGTCTGGAGCAGAGTTCAAATCCTGATATTCACAGAGCCCCAGAAATAAATAACAGAATGCAGCTATTCACTATTTGGGTAAGAGGATTCTTAGCTGTCATCCATTTCTCAAGTGGCCATGATCCAAAAAAGGTTGAGGACTACTGGCCTTGGTGGAGGGTGAGAGATGAAGAGAGTAGTAATTTAAAATATCTCCCATAACAGGGACCAGTAGCTCATGCCTATAATCCTAGCTACTTGGGAGGCAGAGATCAGGAGGATCATCATCCAAGGCCACCCTGGGCAAATAGTTTTAGGGACCCTATCTCAAAAATACTCAAAACAAAAAAGGACCGGCAGAGTGACTCAAGTGGTAGAGCACCTGCGTAGCAAGTGTGAGGCCTGCGTTCAAAACCTAATACCACCAAAGTTAATAAGATAAAATATCTCCCATAGCAGTATAGTTTGTCACCAATTCACATCCAACACTGTTGTTCAAAATGCCCAAATGTCCATAACACACAGGCTTTGGGATTTCGATACCTTTAGCAAGAAAGCATCTTGTTCTTCCTAATTGGTGAAGTGGCCTGGTGAGGTGAAAGCTGGAGCTGGGGTGAGTGTGTGTGTGTGTGTATGTTGTATGTTCCTTGCCACTCCAGCCTCAGCACTGCTGCACTTTCATCAAGCACTAACTAGAGCCAACACTATGCTAATAAACCACTGTAGTGTCTCAATTAATCCTTGCCACATTCCAATGGCCTGGCCA